GGTAATTAATAGTACATCAGATAATTTAATAGTTTGGATTATTTGTATTTCAGGTTTGCAAGACAAGGAACACAGTCCTTGTGCATTCCACCGCAGTTTTCAGTCTCAAGGGATGATAAATAGCATGTAGCAATGGCAGCATCATCTGCCTTTGAGCTGCTCTGTAAATATAACAGTCCTCATATTTTCTGACAGTTTTATTTAAGGCAGGCATCCCAGAAAACTTCATGGTTCACTCAAGCATCACTACTGCACACACAATATCTGGCACATAGCCAAGTCAGGACACTTCCCCCCATCCAAATTTTGGGTCTATATTTGAAGTAAAAAATCAGAAGGGTGTTAGCTCTGTAAAGTAATTTCATTCTGTCATTAATTTTTCTCCTAACGAGCACATGACTCATCTACCGTCTGATCCAGCACCAGCTGGAGTTGTGAGTCCTTCCTGCTGCTCACAGTGTCATCATCACCGATGGTTTTTCTCTGCATCTGTCAGCAGGCACTTGTTGAAGTTCACAAAGCTAAATTCCATTTTTACAAGCATGTTTAGCTGTATGCCTAAATTGAAGTTCTTACTGGACTCTCTTTTTTGGCCTTGACCTTGGTTTTTTACTGTGCTCTGTGTATGCATATTTGATACTAAGAGGAGTGAAGAACGCATCCTTAAAACAATGGTGTCTTGTACACCCATGAAGTACAGTGGCCACAAGATTTTTCTGTGCCTTTTGCGCACTAATACAGTAAACTCACTTTACAAGTATGTTCACAGTGCACCAGGAAGCAGTTTCTTACCCTGCTGGCTGGTAGTTACTGTCTTCAGCCTGAAGTATATCTTCATTTAACAATGTTGATATGTAAAAATTGTTATTTCTATGCTAAACTATATAAAATACTAAACCATGTAAAATATTTTTTTAATAAAGTGTGAGGTGTTCATCTGATGTGAGAAGAGAATTTGATGGATCATTTTTTGGCAAAAATGTTAGGAATGTCTGCTTACTCCCCGCTGAAAATACTCTCCTCTGGTGAATAAAACTTCAGGGAAGTAAAAATGTCCCAATAAACATTTGGGGCCAGGTTCCTCTGAGTAGTCAGGGTATTTCAGCACATGTTACCTCGTGAGCTGGAATTTCTGCAAGCTGTTCCTCCCTTGAAAAGGAAAAGCCATAAGATTTGATTTTTGCATCAAGCTGTGCCTTTGTTTGCTCCACCTCTGGGAGCAATGAAGGGCAAGGAGTAACAATTTCTTCACTCTTCCAACCTGAAACACTCCTTGTGTTAGGATAAGGACATGGCAGTCCCATTCTGTAGTCCCAAGGGTTCTTCTGTCTCAGTCCCACAGGCAAACAAAGCTCAGACAGAATGCCTGGGACCATTTAACTACATTAATTACCTTACAGAGTTTTTAAATATCAGAGTATAAAACAAGAGTTAGAGCAGGGAAAGATGAAAACCTGCTTCATTTTGCATATTGCTGGGAACGTAAAAACCCCTCACTTTTTTACCTTCCTGCTGACATACAGGTTTTTTTTTCCCCTCACAGAGATGTTCAAAAGCTGGGTTCTTGCAGCCGGAAATCCTACCTCTCTCAGTCCATGAAGAATGAATGGAAATTGGCAAAAATTGCTTTTGTAGTCATCATTGTGTTTGTCTTGTCCTGGTCTCCATATGCTTGTGTCACCTTGATTGCCTGGGCAGGGTAAGTGGAAACATAATCCAAAGAGCATGGGTTATTCTGAAATGTAAATTTCAACTAGTACGGTCACCCACAAGAAGCAGATCCTTCTGAAAGGGTTTGAAATAGTTATTACATTAGAGGTGATATTATATTCTTCACTAAATCCTTGTGGACAAAGTCAGAAAAGGGATTGTTTGTCTATGTATTTTAAAACTGTCATGACTTTTTATCTGCATTTTTGGTACACATTTTTTCCTCTCCTCCATGATACTTTCTTTGGATGAATTGGAGGAGTTATCTTTTTTCTCTCCTAATACCCGTTTTCTCAAGAAGCTTCCTCCATACACTGCTGCCTGACAGAAGGCAGAAAAGAGTTATATTCCCTGATATTCACCCATGAGCTCCTGTCTTCCTCCAACCACTCTTTGTTCCAAAGGGACCTGTTGTCTTGTCAGTCATGTTCTTGATTTCAAGGTCAGGTTGGATGAGGCTTTCAGCAACCTCATTCTGGTGAAGTATGTCCCTGCCCATGGCAGAGAGGTTGGATTAGGTGACCTTTAAAGGTCCCTTCCAACCCAAACCATTCTGTGATTCTATACTATTAATTGTGATTAACCTGTGCTGACTTTGGTCACGTGACTGACTGTGGGAGCTTAAAGTCAGAGAAGAATATTGGTTTCACTTCCAGTCCTGTCTTCCTTCTGCAGCATTTGCAACTGAGTCACTGACACTCATTACTGTGCAGCATGGATGTTGCTGCTGAAAGATTTTTAGGTTTCAATTCTGTTTTCTTTCTTTTTTATCGCCATTTCCTTTTTTCAGATGGCCACAACGGGGGTTGTTTTGGTGGGGGTTTTGGTGGGGTTTTTTTAATGTAGAAACAGGGAAGGCGATTCTTTGTGTTCCTGGTCATACTCAAATAGATAACAAATTACTTGCATGTCTTTCATCTTCTCCAAATGAATGAAACCAAGTACACCCTGTCAAATGCAAGCCTTTCATTTGAGCAAAGAATGCAATGAGTTAACGTTTCAGGGGTATTTCTTATAAAGAGATCACAGCACAAAAACAGTCAACAAGAGTAATATGTTTTAGTAATTCAGTATTGATCCGTGGCATAGCTGTGTGTAATGTTTTTGCTTTGTTTTAGTCGAGGCAACACCCTAACACCATATTCCAAATCTGTGCCAGCAGTTATTGCCAAAGCTTCTGCAATCTACAACCCCATCATATATGCAATAATTCACCCAAGATACAGGTACAGTAAATATATAGGTATGTGTATAACTGTACACGCAAATGTGTTTTTTACAATGAATGAACTACTCTGATTTCCTCAACCTCACCCCATGCAGTGTGTGCTCCTGCTCTGAGCACCCCATGATGGGATCCAGGTGGTCTGACCCTGCACCATGCCCATCTGGTACAGGGCAGCCCAGACTGCACACAAAGCTCCAGATGTGGTCTCAGGAGTGGCCAACAGAGGAAAACAGTCCCTCCCTTCACCTTGCTTCCCCATCACAACCCTGCTGTGTCCTGTGAAGCTGCACAACACCATGACCGAGTCACCTGCTCAGGGTCATCTTTTGCCATATCAGGGACAGCTGCTAAAGAGCACTCTCCAGATAATAGGTCCCAACCAGTGGGGCTCAAAAATCACATCATCCCAAATTTAAGAAGCTACATAAGCATATGTTCAAAGTTTGGTTTTCTGAACCACTTAAGTTATTCTCTTTACACCAACTTCATAATACGAGCAAGTTGCTGGTCTTTGGGAGAAGCTCTGTAAGAAGTAAACAGGAATTTCATAGGACTTCTGTGCAAAGTGAGAGCTGTAGGAAGCTGGTAATCCAGACAGAGCTACCTGCAAATGAGAAAGTTTTCAAAATATAGTGAAAATACTGCTTTTTCATGAGCAGACTTGTTAACTTTGGTCAACAAGTATTTGCCTTCCAAAAAATAATGCAGACATTTCTGAAATACTCTACTTTGTGGAAAGAAGTCTCTTATGAAGGCTATTTTCATATTTGTTTCATTTAGTTGTTTCAGTGAAAAGACTTTCCATTCTTTACTTTTTTCAAAATTGTTAGCTTTGTCTTAAAAGAAAGAAAAATCTTTACCCTAATGGGGTTCAATGGGCAAAATGTAATGTTGATCACTTCTCAGAAACACTTCAATTTTTTTTTCAGATATGAAATATTTCTGAACCTATATCTTCATAAGCAAAACATATTTTATACTTTAATTCTTCTTATTATTACAGATATCAGTTATTGTGTATTTTAAAACAGAACACTCTGGCAACCCAGCACAATTTCACTAACAAATACTCAAACACTATTCAGTTTCAATAAGCTGCATGATTAGCCAACTTTTCTTGCTTCTTTATTTCCTTCTCAGACCTCTCACAGACAGTGGATGAGTTTCTGAGCTGAAAGATATGAATTCTGCTTTTTACCCAGGCCCTCTGACTGCAGTAAGGTGAGGGATAGAGAGTATAAAGTTAACTTGTTCCCACAGAGTATATGATTAGAAAGGTAACAATTGACTGTAATAAAAGATTTCCATACCATCACTCTGATGGGAAATTACCAGATGAGGTGAATAGAATGATAATTTAATATACCATAAAAGACACTCCTCCAAAGAATCAGAAACCTTTCCTTTTGCAGAATAAGGTCCATCATAATCTTCTTTAATAACTTCTATAGAGCATCCCAATTGGTTTCCAAAGACCAGCTCAGCCTTCCCCAACATTTAGGGAAAGCATGAGAAGGAAACTACCTTGCATTTCAGAAAGGTTACCTGCTCTTTGAGCTAGCTAGGACCTGGAGGCATGCGTAGTATGGACACATCAAAAATTATGGTGTCTTCAGTTGTGTGGTCCTAAAAGCAGTAACGAAGTACTTTTGCAGGAGAATAAGCTGGCATGATGTTCTGCTAAATGGTTTCAAATAAGAAGAAACTTACTCTGCACTTAGCAGACACTATGAAAGTTAAAACTTCTTTTTTGAAGTCAACATTTTATTTAGAAATGTCCTCTCAGCTTCAGCTGAGAGCCATTTTCAAGTACTGGCAAAGTCAGTCACTTCTGTTAAAACTTCTAAAATACTTGGTTTTCAAAAATCCAGCAAGAATAGTTTTTGGGGGGTTATTTTTTCAGTTTTTTGTTTGTTGCTTGACGTAAGGAAAGGGGTACAAATCCATTGTGTTCTCAGCCCTATCTTCAGCATTATCTGGGCTCCTAAATAGTTAGGTTTATTCACCTTTACCACCCAGAGCAGTGTACTCAGAAGCAGATATGCCTCACACAGAAGATATAGCTCAGAGCTTGCAATTTCCTCCTGTAGCTGTACGTGATGTGTTTTTGAAACATTGGCAGTGAAAAATACTTTATTATATAAAAGGAGAAATACTTGTAACAGAACTATTTTTCAGCATATCTTTAGATTTTTCTGCAATTCTTTCAAAGCAAAGGGATGCTGTGTCAAAAGTTCGAATGAAACACGGGGATGGTACAGTGATAAATGTGATAAATGTATAAATGCCACTAGATGGCAGGATTAGTCGTCGTCATGAGGTTTGTCTCACCCAAGAAGTGGAAAACCTGCTATGTATGCAAAGTTATGTTGCCTGAAAACTAGGATTTGGGAGCTGGAAATTGAATTCATTGTTTTGAACGTCTGTTGAATGACAGTGTGGTTGTAAGAACAGTTAAAGTTTCTCTGAAGGCTCATGGAAATAGACCCAGAAATGGTGAAAACATATATTTTGTTTTAAAATGTCTGCTATCGTAATTAACACTGTTTTGCATCCTCCAAAAACCTGAGTCTATCTTATTTCTTGAAGTTTACAGAGCATTTTAATTTAGAATAAGGAGAATGAGTAGTCTCTGGTGGCTTGCAGAAGTTGAACAAGACTTTTTGCACAGCTGGCTGACACATTATGAACGTGGTATTTTTTTCTGATCCAAAAATATTGTGTTCAGTGGTTCCTTATACCATTTTTGCAATATCAAGAGAGTGTTTTCAAAGGAGATACTATACAGTGAACTAATATTCAATTAGTCTTTTTCCTGCCAGCATCTGCTTTTCTAAGTAAGACTGTATTAAGAAAAAAAGCTGGAGCCCACAGAGGATTTCAGACACTTTCTTAAAAAGTGTTTTGTTTTATTCTTTCCCTGCTTCCTAATTTGTATTTCTGGACATATCAACAAAAGAAGTGTTTATGGAGTTGTTGTGAAGACATTTCATGGACTTGAGAGTCATCCAGTCAGGAAAAGAAGTAATGTTGGGTCCCTCGTGATGAATCAAGCGTGCAGTTTTAAAATTGAAAAAGCAGCTACAGTAGACCAACAAGTCAGCTGGTGAAAATATATTGGCAGGACCAATTTTGCTTGAACAGTGAATAATGAATATTCATGTAAAGATCAGGAGTTCTGCATAATTCCCAAATCTAATAATTCACGCTATGTCCTGAAAGTAATTTATCCAATGATAGATAAATGGGCCAGTCTGTTCAGGCCCAAGACTTAAGGGTTTGGGCAGGGGATGAATTGTCATTTTGTATTGGAACTATTGAACTGAGCTAAACCTAGAATACTTTCTAAATCTTTCTAGAAATCAAGATCTAAAGAGTTCAGATATGGATCAAACCAATGAGGTACCACTCCCAAAGCAAGATGCTTTTTTACACAGACAATCACTGTAACTGTATCTTAGTACCCCAACGAGTCAAACAAGTCTTTTTGTGGGGTTTCCTTAACATAAGCATTGAAAAAAGTACATTACAGTGAATGTAACTGAAAATGCAAAGTGACCTTTGTGCTAGCACTTGGCTTTTAAGAACTGGTCTGAGGTTAGTTGTCATATACCCTCCTGCCCACCCACTCCTCACCAGTATAAAGGAGAAAAACGCTTCTCTCCCTGTTAGGTATCACTGGAAGTAACAAATGTAAGTAATGAAATGTATGCAAAGTTTTAATTCATGAAATGCTGTTTTATGGGGGAAGAAAGTTTTCACTCCTTTAACAACACATATGTGAGAGAACATTACTCGGCTGTGTTAAAGTTACTGCATAAACTTCCTTAGATTTTGGAAGTTTTAGGTTTTGTAATAATTTGTTCATAGCAAATGGGGAAATTCTGCATGTCCATATTTCCAACTTGCTCCCAAGTGAAGCACATTTATAAAAAAATTGTTGAAAAATGATCCATAATAAATAACTGAATAATCATGAATAATTTTGATTTGCAGTATTTTTGCAAAAATTTGTTTGCAATTACTTTGTATTTGACTTTGTGTGACTTTCATTTCAGAGTATTACAAAAATATCGTTAAATAAGCATCTGAGTTTATACCTATTCTGTATTTCACATGTACAGTATTAAAATTTCCTTCAAAATATGTACTTTTGTCCTAGCTGCCAAAATGTCCCTCAGCAGTCCTCTGAAATATTAGTAAAATTGAACCTCTGGTCCCTCCAGACATTGAAAATGTTGTCCTTGAAAATTCACTGTCAGACATAAGTTTCCTGAATATCCAGCGTGAGGAAGTCTCTGCATGAAAACCCACTTAATAAACAAGATGGTATGTTTTACACCAACTTGAAGTTATTGAATAGTTTACAGCCTCAGGTTGTCAAAAGCTACTTCTATGTCTGAGGGAAGTGGTTCAGATTCTCAGCTAGGAAAAAAAAAGCTGGCAGCTGCTTTTTCAGCACCACCCTGAGGTCTTTGACATGAAAATGAACTTGTAAGGGCTTGGCATCTTACAAGGCTCCTGTAAACCCTTGCTGATTCTCAAAACTTTTTATTTTCTGCACGTCATTAGCTCATTTTTTCATCCAGCACCACGTGGGCAGCTTCCTGCACCCCCAAGCAGCTCAGTGGGGCTCTGCCAGCTCACCAGCAGGTGTCTCGGCAGAATCAGGAAAGATTGTGCAGGCAGAAAGCTTTCCTTATTTTTTTTTGGATTGACAAACTAGTGAGCTCATCTTGTAATCCCAGAATCAGGTCTCTGAGACTTTAACATGAATGATATTTTCTGAGCATAGAAATGATGACTTAAAATGTCACAGTTATTCAACAAACCTGGTAACTATGGAAGCAAAGATTTTACAATATACATCCACTTGACTTGCATCTCAGTGTAAAGTCAATATACTAACACCTTCCACTGATCCGTAAGTCCCGTGCATCTATTATTTTCCATATGCTCTGTTGCTGCCTCGCTTCTTGACTTGTTCATTTAGTTTTGTGCCAGTCTTAGCTTCATCTGTTGGGCTGACATCATGGATTGGGAGGCACTGGGGAAGTATTATATCAAATGCAGTGCTCTGGCTAGCATTGCCCTGCCAGTCCTTGGCATCAGTGAGGAGCAAGGTCAGCTGGCATTGCACAGGGGAGGCTCTTGGGCTCTTCTGCTCCATGTGGGGCCAGGGCTGGGACCAGGAGGAATGAACTCATACAAGCATGACTAAGATTACTACTTAATGAATAAGGCAGGTTTTAAGTTCTTTGGGGCTTAGATCACCCTTCTCCTCTGTGCTTGTATGGAGTGTTAATTCCTGATAAGAGTTTACAGGAGCTGCCATGATACAACTAAATAACAGTATCTGATTCTTCTAGTCCTCTCCCTCTTCCTTTTTTCCACTAATCCTGTGCCCTTGCACAGTGAAGACCTTTGTACCAGCTAACCTGAAAGTTTTCTGGGTTAACCTTTCAAGTAAATCAGAAGCAATCATGCTCTTAAAGATATTTTCAATTTTTGCTACTTATCCATGCAGCTCTTCCATATGCGTTTTGACCTGAGGCCCAAAAGCCACCTGCTATTTTCCTTTCAGCCTGTTGAGTACTTTCCACTAGATATACCATACTGTTTCTGTGTAGTCTTTAAGACCTCCTCAACCAAAACAGAAGCTGTGCTGAGCTTATGGAAAGACACGGTACTTTCACCACTTGCTTTTCAAAGCTGTGTCATCAATATGCTCTATGGTTTTTTTTCTTCTCCTGTTTTCCTTCAGAAAAACCATTCACAATGCTGTTCCCTGCTTGAGGTGCTTGATACGAATATCGAAGAATGACCTCCTAAGAGGCTCCATAAATGAGTCATCATTCAGGACCTCTCTCTCCAGCCATCAGTCTCTTGCTGGCAGGACCAAGAGCATTTGCATTTCATCAGTTTCCACTGGAGAAGCCGTAAGTCTTTTCTTGTTTCCATGAAGGAAAGTGAGTATAATGTTTCTCTGACTCCCCAAATAAGTGACTCTATAAATATTCAAAATTAGAGAATGGAAAAAGAGGGGGTGTGTAGCTAAATTTTTGCTCATATGAGGTCATTTCTGCAAAGCCTTTCTGGGAGTTCATGTGTGACGATTTCTGATCAGAAAAAGCATCCAGGCCAGCATATCTGCATAGTTCAGATGCTTACTGGGACCATGGATGTTCAGGTTAAATCTTTAATGTGAAATAGAAAGAAACATTGTCAGGCATCCCCCATGTCACCAACCACTTCCTGTAATTTAGCGACTGAAGGGGCTGGAGGACAGAAAAACAGTCTCTCATCCAAAGTTTTCTGAGTTAGAAAAGCTGTCTTATTATTTTAAAGGAAGTCCATTTTGTACAGGACAGGAAACTTTTTGATTTGTGCCCCTGTATTTTAATGTATACTCCTGTAAACTCTTCCACTCGTGTCGAGTGGAAGACTTCTGCACCTGGAGCGGGGTGGGGTGTTTTGTAAGCAGCATAACCCAAGTCTCAGTAAGGCTGGTGACTAAGGGAGTTAGAAACAAAAGATCCCTTGCGATTCTTCACAGCCCCTCTTGGCATGACCTTGCCTGCCTCTCTAAGTCACAAGAAGCTGGCCTTGCCCGCAGAGGTGTTGGGAAGTCAGCTTCTGGGCAGGGATGGTGGCTGTGGCAGGGGCCAGGCTGCGGCTGGCCCTCCCTGGGACCTGCGCTGCTCTGTGCTCAGCTCGGGCATAAGAAACCTCCTAGAGCGATGGCTGCGGTCGGTAACCTTTCATGAAGATATAAATCACTGTGACGTGCTGAGTGGTGAACTCTTGGCTCTCTCCTTGAGCCAGGTCGTAGCAGCCTGAGCAAGGATGGGGCTTGGTTACTTGTGTGCTGGAGCCTGCAGGCTGCTGCTTTCAGGGTGGTGTTGCACAGTCAGGCCATGGAGCTGCATTTCAGTGAGATTGTAACTATGTTGAATATTTTTGGAAGACTGGTCGTCTTTGGTTTCGAAATGGACCCAAGACCACCAGGAAAATCATCATGAACAGTGCACCATTGTCAAATAAGATAATTTTGCACTGAATTTTCTGCTGGAGAATGGAAGTTGTTCCTTTCAGGTAACAGCACCAGGGAGATTTCTAAACTCTTTCATGACAGACAGACAGTAAAGCAAAACACACCTGAGCAAAAAACCAAGTAGTCCCAGCCAATGTTAGCAGTGTGCCAAGGGTGCTGACAAGAAATTCAGGTCTTCTGGCTGTGAAATCAAGAAACAGTATGAAAACCCCACTTTAAGTGCCTGAGGGGAAGGCTCACTGCCTGAGCCCTAATGAAATAAAATCTATCCCATTACAAAAGACAGGTTACTTTGTCTCTCTTGCACATTGACCATACAGTTGCATCAGGTAGACTTCCACTTAAAATGACTAATTGTGCTTTATTGGGTAGCCTCAGCCACACAGTTTGTGAAGTTGTGAACTGTTTGGGGACAAGGATCCTCTTCCAATTTGTGACTGTGTATCATGTATCCCAGCAGCATTGCTGTCTATCACTAAACAGCCTGCAGGTTCCTGTATTACAGACACGTAAAAATGATGATGATTAAAGAACATGAAATCCCTTAAATGGGGTGCATTTTGTCATTCAAAATTAAAAGATGTTTAGATACCATGCAATGGACAAGCTACTTCTCAGGAAAGACCTAGTCTAGAAGTGACAAGCTTTTTCTATAACATTTCATTAAATGTGTCTACCATAAAATTTCTTTTAAATTAAAACAAAAAATAAAAGAGTGAGAGGCCTGTTTTAGCCTAGGCAAAGCCTCTTTTAGCATACTGTTGTTCAGATTTGAGCCCAAGTGAGTTTGAAGTGTGTGATGGGACTCTTGTGGAGTGTAACGCTATTGTACCACACCACACAGCATGAGGATCCCCAAATTTACTTGCCTAGGCTCTCATAGTCTTCAGGGCATGGGGAGCACTTTCATGTTCATCTAGTTGCTGCTATATTAGGGCAAAAGGCTTTAATAAATGAGAAAAAAAAAAGTGGCTCACTTTGTAGGGGCTATGAAATTTAGCATTTGTCTTGGCTCTTGAAGATACAAATAAATGCATAAATATTTTTTGTTGCAATGTAAATGAAAATGAGATAATCTATCCTGCGGACTTAATTCCATTCACAGACCACTGATTACACAACGATGCATGAGAGCATCAACTATGATGATTTCATAAACTGTAAAATACCCAGATTATCTTTGCAATATGAGGTTAGTATATGCAACATGCCAATATCCTATCATTAAAAGAAAGAGTACATTTTGTTTGGGATTGCTTAACAGCTTGAGCACACAGACCACCCACACACCCATACATACCTGTATCCTCTTTGAGATCATGGGGACTACTTGTCTGCTTACACTTGTGCTTCGTTCACTGGTTGTAGATAGCACATGTAGTGATATGGAAATGCGTTGACATCGTTTAAAACAGGAAAGCTCCTCATTTACTTATTTTCAACCTTTTTTGCCCCTTTTAATTTGTAATTTTTCTTGACTTAAAGTTTATTCCTAAATTTTCTCCCACTAATCCTTTGTTTGATGTCAGATGAGGTAATTTCAGCTGGATCACCCATCCTGATCCAAGAAGCTTTCTGTTTGTCACTTCTTGATTTTGGTTCATTTGGGTTAGCAGGTTATTGTGTGTGTTTGGTTGGGGTTGCTGTTTAAAGAGGCAGGATAATGTGGATAAGAGGTTTCAGCCTTTGACACAACTTTGGCTTAGGAGTCTCAAACAAAACATCTGCTGTTAGCAATGTGCAGCACTGTGTTGTGCTGAGTTGATGCAGCCAAATGTAATTGTACTTGGGGCAACTGCACAGCTCAGTGCAGCTGTACAGGTGTTAGCTGAAACAGCAGCTGCTGAAATAAAAGCTAAGCTCAATGACTCTTGCATGACAGCAAGACTGAGCGAAATTTTGGAATGCTCCAATAAAGTATTGATGGGCAGGAATGACACCAGCAACACTGTAAAAGATGCAGCTGTTGCCACCAGCACTTTCCTCTATACGTTGTGTACATGTTAGTGTAGAGAGCCAACATATTTGTGAGTCATACAGAGTTGTATTTACAGTCTGATTCTACAAAGGAGAGAAATAAACAGGTGGCAATACATAGAAGTATGAGCAAGGTGACGCAGAAAAATTATGCACTAGTTTCCCACTTGTGTGGAGCCGTATCTACCTATCCATCTGTCTATCCATATCTAAAAGCTGGTATGGAAAATAGTGGAATGATCTTCTATGACCAGCTGGCCCACCTAGTCGATGAGGGGGATGCTGTGGATGTCATCTACCTGGACTTTAGTGAAGCCTTTGATACTGTCTCCCACAGTATTCTCCTAAGAAAGCTGGTGCCTCGTGGCCTAGACAGCTGTACACTGAGCTGGGTCAAAAACTGGCTGGACAGCCGAGCACAGAATGTTGTGGTGAATGGACTTAAATTGAGCTGGCAGCCAGTCACAAGTAGTGTCCCCCGGGGCTCAGTATCGGGGCCATTCTTGTTTAACATCTTTATTGATGATCTGGATGAGGGGATTGAGTGCTCCCTCAGTGAGTTTGCAGATGACACCCTGTTGGGTGGGAGTGTTGATCTGCTCAACAGTAGGGAGGCTCTGCAGAGGGATCTGGACAGGCTGGATCAATGGACTGAGGCCAATGCTATGGGGTTTAACAAGGCCAAGTGCTGGGTCCTGCACTTGGGTCACACAACCCCATGCAGCACTACAGGCTTGGGGAAGAGCGACTGGAAAGCTGCCTGGTGGAAAAGGACCTTGGGGTGCTGGTCTACAGCCGGCTGAACGTGAGCCAGCAGTGTGCCCAGGTGGCCAAGAAGGCCAAAATCATCCTGGCCTTTATCAGAAATAGTGTGGCCAGCAGGACCAGGGAAGTGATCATGCCCCTGTACTGGGCACTGGTAAGGCCACAGCTTGAATACTGTGTGCAGTTTTGGGCCCCTCACTACAAGAAAGACATTGAGGTGCTGGAGCGTGTACAGAGAAGAGCCACGAAGCTGGTGAAGGGTCTGGAGAACAGGTCTTATGAGGAGCAGCTGAAGGAACTGGGGTTGTTTAGTCTGGAGAAAAGGAGGCTCAGGGGAGGCCTTATTGCTCTCTGCAACTACCTGAAAGGAAGTTGTAGTGAGGTGGGTGTCGGTCTCTTCTCCCAAGTAACAAGCGATAGGACAAGAGGAAATGGCCTCAAGTTGCACGAGGGGAGGTTTAGAGTGGACATTAGGAAAAATTTCTTTACTGAAAGAGTAGTCAAACTTTGGAACAGGCTGCCCAGGGAAGTGGTAGAGTCACCATCTCTAGAGGTGTTCAAAAACACGTAGATACGGCACTTCAGGATATGGTTTAGTGGGCATGGTGGTATTAGGTCAACGACTGGACTTGATTTCAGAGGTCTATTCCAACCTTATGATTCTATGATCATTGGTACTCAATCAAAAAGTCACCACAAAGTTAAGGATGATGGATGACCTCTGCCCAAGCCTGCAAATGGAATGGCATGGTTACAGTATCAAGATTGTGGTCAGTTACTGGCATGCTCTTAGAAAATTAGTGCAAAACCCTCCCTTTGCCTCCCATCCACTAATGATGGTTCAGAGAAGAAGCAAGTTCATGGGCCTTGAGAAGTCCCGGGTATTCTGGGTATCCAGCTGGAATGTGTACAAATGTGGTTTTGGACCTGTCCACGTGCACCGTTTTGTATCAGCAGATGGTCACATAGAACGCCACAAGCCATATTAAGCAGATTGGTTGTACTTGCTCCCATCTTTAGACTTCAGGTGCTATGCAGCTATAAGCGTAGCACAAGCAATGAGATAAAAAAGGGTGAAAAACATCCTGGTGAAAAGAGATTGATCAATTTTTCATTATTTCAAAGATTTTTTTAGTTCAGAAAAATAGTCCAGGGTAAGCGACAAGATTAAAAATCAAGCCTCTCCCCAGGGGAGTTTTGAGTGTGAGACCTGTGTTAGAAGAGCTTTAGTTTTCTGCAAGTGTGCATGGTTTCTGCTAGAGTTTGAGAACTTTTAGAAATTGAGAAAGGATTTAGCTGTCTGAAATCCTTCATCATTTGTGATTAGACCTGGAGCGATGTACAGCTTGACCCTGTAGAGCCAGCTCATAAGAAACTGCAGCCTCGCCGAAGTCAATCTTTCTCAACAAGTCTGAGACAGGAGAAGAGAGACCTGCTCCCAAAGACCTGCAGCTGTGAAGTGGCAACTGCAGAAAAGGTAAGGAAAAAAAGTCTCTGCTGAGGACTCTCCATTTTAGTGTTAATTTGCTACAGTATGTTATCTCTGTAATAATTCAGCCTTTAGACCCATCTGTTTCATCTGTATGCTTTATTTATACCGATTCCAATGTCCTCTTCAGCCTTGCTGTTATTTCTTCTTTTTTTGTGACTAATGAGGATGCAAATAATGCCTTGTTAACTTTTTTCCTAGAATCATAGAATTGGTTAGGTTGGAAAAGACCTTTAAGGTCATTAAGTCCAACCTTTAACCTAGCACTGCCAAGGTGACTCAACCGCTTCCCTGGGCAGCCTGTTCCGATGCTTGACAACCCTTCCAGTGAAGAAATTTTTCCTAATATCCAATCTAATCTCCCCTGGTGCAACTTCAGGCCATTTCCTCTCGTCCAATCACTTGTTACTTGGGAAAAGAGACTGACCCCCACCTCACTACAACCTCCTTTCAGGTAGCTGTAGAGAGCGACAAGGTCTCCCCTGAGCCTCCTTTTCTCCAGGCTAAGCAATCCCTGTTCCCTCAGCCAATCCTACAACTTGTGCTTTAGATCCTTCACCAGCTTCCTTGCCCTTCTCTGGAAACGCTCCAGCACCCCAATGTCTTTCTCGTAATGAGGGGCCCAAAGCCACACAGTATTTGAGGTGCGGCTTCAGCAGTGCTGAGTATAGGGGTATAGGGGGACAATCACTTCCCTAGTCCTGCTGGCCACACTATTTCTGATACAAGTTTGACATGATAGAAGCCACCCTTTTTCTTCTTTTCAGTGTACTTTAAAATGTTTTATTTTTGTTGAGGAGGAAGACAAGAAAAAAACTCCCATTTCTCCCTAAGAGTGGGAGAGTCTGGCAGCTGCCACCCTTCCCTCACTGAAAAAGGAGATGGTGAGTACTCAGTGCATCTTCTGTGGATGCATCATGCTCATTGCCCAAACCACTGAAGTTTGGGGTCATGGTATTGAGGAGCACCCTGTTCCCTGAGGAACTGCTGAGGACGGGAGCAGTAGGTCACCCGCAAGTTAGCTTCTCCCAGAACTGTAACACCTGTTTCAAAACAAGTATCTGTATGGGTGGCACAATGTCAAGCATATGTCAGTGCTGTGTTTTGAAGACAAGACAGACATAGGCTTACAATCCCCTGTCCATGGCTGGACTGAGTAGCAGCCGTTTTTTGATAGAGGCACCCTTTCATGGGGTTACTTTAGTGTGTGTAACCAAGCACCTGTACCGCTGGCAGCTACAGCATCTGCTTCTGTCCCCTGTGCTCCCTTCCAGCTCTGAGGCTAATTGTCTAGAGACAGCACAGTTTAAAGCAGGAGCTGTTCTGAAAATTTCCAGCCGTCCAATGACCCAGTTCCTGCATGCGTCTACCCTATCTTCTTTCATGTATCTCCTTAAGATCAAATCCTGAGAAACCTCGGGGTTTTTTCCTGTAACTGTTGTGAATAGTATTGATGGAAAAACAATGTCTTCAAACGTGGTGGCAGGCAACATGGGCTTAAATTTGCTACCCACCTCTGCTGCCCTCCATCAGTAGCCCAGTGTGTCCAAGGTTCTAGGCAAGTGGTGAAGACAAGAGATTATCTCCAGGTTCTGGAGAACCACGGGCTTTCAGTCTCACAAGGAAGGAGAAGGAAAATAATTCTGAAGTGGTCTACATAAAAGTGTTCAAATATTCCTGTACTCTGGAATTCAGCAGCCACGTAGCTCACAAGAAGGCTCAGATGCTATACTTTGTCTTTGAAAGACATCTATTGGATTATTTTGATAGATAACCTTTAAAGAGAGTACCTTTATGCTGAAGCATTCAGTGGTGTTCACTGAGGTGTGTGGAGTTTATTTACACTGAATGTTCAAAGCCTCATTTGCTTTTCTTAATATTTTCAGCAAAGAGACCTCAGTGGTGTGAAGGTCCTTTGTGTGTTAGCTAAATGCAATGCATCAATATTCATTCTATCGGAATAAATATTTATTTGTCAAGCTCAGTTAATGTTTCACTATGAGGCCACTAATTTATCCTTAAAAAAACCTCAACCAACCCTAAAGAAACTCCACTGCATTTTTAGATATTTATTTTAAGGTTTAATATCATTACTGAATTCCAAATATAGCACTTCCAAAAATGCTCAATTATGGAAAAACAGTTGTGAATTTGGTGAAGGGTCACCTAACTTCTTGATTTAACAAAATATAAAATATTTTTAGGAGAAGAATCTTGCATTTCCTTTGTTTTCTTTAAGAAGACCATCTCAACAATATCTAAAAAATATATGTACCTCTGAATTCTTTTCACTGACTGAGATCAAGACTGCTTAATGCACAGTTGCAGAGAGGTTGACAACAAAGAAAAGGCATCCCTCAAGTGACAGTAAAAAAGCCAATCTGTGTCCCAGGCTTGGTGCTTTCCAGAGCATAAAACCACACAGGACTGTCTTCTGTGCTGCCACAAAGACATGATGCAGCCACATGACTTATTGCAGTTAGTTAGGGTGGTAACAGACTTGATGTAGACTGCCACCTGGAAGCATGGCAGTGAAGAAGCCTTTTTTGGAAGCATTGAAATTCAGGCATGTATTACGAGGATAAGATAGGTTTGGATACTTGATTTCAAAGGAGAGTTGCCAAATGTGCTCTGTACATACAGGTTTTGTGTCAAGGGAATTGCACAGCATGAAAACTATTAAAAAAAACCTTGGAAGTTGTGTTCTGCCCACTAAGCCATATCCAAAAGAAACCCATCCTTCTGCTGTGGTGAAAACAGCAGTTGAAGCAGGGAGGAGTGGTTTTGGGCTTGGGTTTTTTCATTCTATTGTTATCTTTGATCTGGAAGAATGGACTTTTCTTCTCTGTCAATTTAAACCACATTTTTTTAGCACCCCTCCACTTGGGTAGGTACTGTGGCTGGAGAAATCATTATCGATAGGGACTGGTGAACGATTTCTGCTTGTGGAGTAGAATAACACAATGCTTCTGTATATACCAGTATCTAATTTTAAATACAGACTGACAGAGAGACAGAAGAGGGGGACGGAGAGAGACTAAAAATTCCGATTACTTTTTTTTTAAAAAAAAAAAACAGCAAAATTTACATGAAGAACAAATGCTTTTGGTTTTCTGTCTGTAAAATCAGGCTAGACCTATGCCATGCAATAACATATTCCGCCAAACTGGTTGCTAAAACACAGATGGTGACCCCTAAATCGAAAAAAGAAATATTAAAAAACAAAACCAAAAGAACCACCTTTCCTTTTTGATTGAAGGAAATCAGTATAAAGGCAGTATCATGGGCCATGGACTAGGTAGAGACAAAGGGAACCAAGCCTACAGTCCCTGCTGGGCTGTAATCATGCTAGAACCTGGTCTAACATTTTAAAAGGTGTTTCAGCACCAACTCCCTGTAAATCCATGGGAATTACATGCCTGAATGCTTCAAGAAGACTAAAGTTGAATTTATGAGGTTTACGACTAGACCAGGAATACCTGCAATAGAGGAAAAATTTTACAAAACTATTATGGGAAGCTCAAGCTGTGGAGAGACTCAGTGTAGCTAATTAATAGGCTTTACAACCATATTAAGAGAAATAAGTAGAACTATAACTCTGAAAGAGGCTTTATAGCAATCTGAGTAAAGCTTAGTTGTACTCTGAATTCCATTAGGCTTCATGGGAATTCATAATAATGAAGGAAAAACTGCATTTTACTTTAAATATTGATTTTCCCCAGGAAGGAGGGACTTCTCTCTATATCTGGCACAGTGATTTTATAACCATAATTGTCATTTTCTACAGGAAGGCAAAATTGATCATTCATGCCTTCCGTTGCTCGTGTACTTAAACATTAACTAACACTTCCAAAGTTTACTTAGTTTACTCTGGATTTACATACTGTGCATGAAGAGTTCTGGAAAGGTTGCAGGGAGTTGCCATCAGGGCCACGTTAGAAATTAGAGTTTTCTCAAAATAGGCAGATGGGAAATGGTTAGTAAAGCAAAATCACAGTTGCTGGTTTTCCCTTCTTTGTTGGTGGAAGTACTGTCCAATGCGTGAATGCAAAGCCACTGACTGCCCCGAGGTAGTACCAGGGGCCCTTTGGGGACACCATGACAGAGATTGTCACAAGGATGAGGAAACTTTAGGCAAATAAAGAATGTAATGTGCTTGAGTCTTATCTGAGATCTCTTCCATGAGAGAGAATTACAATTATCCGGTATCTTGAGATGTTTTAAAAATTGCGAAATAATCTTTTTTAAACACAAAATAAGTCAGATCTAGGAATAGACTTTTCTTCTTTTTTTCTTTATGATCTCTGCTGATATTCGAGCATCTCTCCTTTTGCTTCATTTAACATCCTGCTTTCCAAGCTGTAGATGTTAACACATCATGATTTTCCCTCTTTTAGTCAATGATTCAAGTATTTAGAAAATATGACTGGTGACTCAAATAGTGACTAGTGGTAATGAATATTTCAAATACTGGTTTCCATAGTCATATGCTGTATGACGACACTAAAGCTTATGTCTCCACTTCAGGTTTCTTTCTCCTCCAGTTGTTTGGAGAAGATGCTTGGGTGGCCAGTCCTACACAGTCCCCCTGCAACACTCGTGACCAGCTCCCTAAAAGCAGCTTCTCTGCCCGTTGGTTTGAATAGCAGCAGTGTCAGCAGAGAAGGAGACTCGGACACTTCACAGATGGCAACTCAAGAAAGTCAAGTTAATGGAGTCCTGAGCTCTATCATTAGCAATACAGTCCCTCGCATTATCATCATTCCTACCTCAGAGACCAACATATTTCGAGAGGAATTGGAAGAGGAGGAGAATGAATTATTTCACTTTAATGACAAAAAGGGCAATCTGCTGGACTTGGAAGGGCTTAGCTCATCCATGGAGTTCCTTGAAGTTGTTGAGAAATTTCTATCGTAAGATTGTCAAAAGAAAACTTTCCGGTAATTATTTTTTCTTGGCATTTTCTCCACTCAATTACACCAAATAACCGAAGCCTTGTAGGTTAGATCATCAGACTTTTTGTATGTTTGTATGGTAGTCACTAGGCAGCCTTCAGATTCAGCTTTGTCCAGAACAGCTCAGGCATGGGAACAGGCTTTGTTTCAGATTGTGCTGCAGGAAATGAGCAGTGGAAGAGCTGGCAGCATAATCGAGTGGCATCAGTCGAGTCAGCCGCCTGGTTTGTGGGGCCATGATTTGTAACCACAGATGGAGGTGCAGAAGGAAAAATGACTGAGTGAGAGCAGGGGCAGCTGCTGAATGTTTCTGCTACCTGCGCATGAAACAGCATTCCTGTTTTGGCAGCTCTCTTCTGGTGGGTGATGGGAAGCACCATGAGCCCACAGCTTCCACCAGCCCCAGTAGTAATGCAGATGGCTAGATGATCTGAATGATCTTTTAATCAAATTCTTTTCAGCATCATTTTTAGTTCTGTTTATTTTTTTTTAATAGGCAGTTTTCTAAATGTGAGTAAACAAACTGATGGTGTAACTGGGAAATGACTACTTGCTTTTAAAGTTTAGTGCTAGAAGTCTGGATTTTACCTCAGCATTAGCACGATCACCTGAATGTCAAAATGCAAGGTACTATACGCTAAAACACACAATACTACCTGTAGAAGCATTTAGAGAACCTTCAAAGTTACAGTCTTGATTAAATATGTATGGATCCTAATGAGTCTGTGATTAAAAGGACGAACATTCACAGCTGGCTTGACAAGTCACTGATAAAAATAAAGCCTTGGCCACTATATATCACTTGTCTCTTCAGAGGAAATTCTTCTCCTCTCCTCCTCTAAATTGACTCAGTGGATGTCTTCCCCTACAGGTCAGTTACCAGAGGCCTTCAGAGCAGGTAAAACATCATCTTGGGGAGAAAACTCCATGTAACTGTGGTGTTTGCTACAGGATCGGCAGTCACATCCTTATCTGTGGTTACTGATTGTGCTTATTTTATCTGCGCTTCACATTATGGCTCAGGGTCACAAGACCCTCCTAGTATTTTATTCCTAAATGCATTCTTCCTTTTGTTTCTCATTTTCCTTTTTTTATAACATGTATTCCACATCCTCCCTTTCAGTCTCTGACTTTCAAATGTAGACAACAAGTTGAATTATATTCTTTCCACATAGTATTAGTATATCTTAGCAGAAAGCAGGCAGTCTTCAGGATATAATAGTGCAAATATTTGGTCCAGTGAGTTTAGTAGCATTCAGATATCTATCAAGAGAGTGCGAGTTTATATTCATAGTCTTGGTTTATTCCCTTGACTGTATCCTAGATTGTACAGAGACCACTTAGAGCATTTACAGGTTTGGTGTATGCACTGGCTGGTCTTGAGAAATAATTTCTCTTTTCCTGTTCTCCTGATGCAAAAAACAGATGGAAAGATGGGAAGCGTAGAAGTATTGTTTAAAATTATTTTTTTATTACAAGAGAAGATAACACAAATCTTGTTTGCAACTAGCTAGACAGGAACACAACTGAAGAACAAACTAAAACCGAAAGCAGCGCAGGAGAGGAATGCCTCCACACTTGCCGACCTGAGGCTTTGCAGGGTGTCAGCACAGCAGACCTTCAATGGGACTCAGACACTTGCTTTTGGTACAGACTATGCTTTTTTTAGGAAAAAAAACCACTGGTTGGTTACAGAGGTGACAGCTGAGACAGGCTGCCTATTGCTATGCACTCTTAATGCTGCTATTATTTGAGGTACTCTGCTGTCTACAGACCCTCACCAGAAACGAGGCCAAATACCTCCTTACCTTGTAGAGAAGGGGGAAAAGAATGGTGGAGTTACATCATATGAGTGGCTGTCTGCCTGCAGCCCCAGTGCTGGGGGTCAGGGCTCAGCCCAGGCAGCACCACACTGCGGTACCTGAAGAAGGGCGGCTGAAGGCTGTGCCTACGGGTTTTCTACCAGGACCAGGAATCATGCGAAATTCATCTGCAATCAGCTCAGCTTTTCCAAAGGCAATTCCTTGATTTGAGGACTGGCACAAGTGAGCAGGCAGCATGGGGCACCTGCCGAGGACTGGGATGTGCTCACGTGCAGCTCCTCAGTGCCAGGCTTTAATCCAGTGCATGGTTTTGGCTACAATGAATAATTTAATGTTAATTAAATACAGCGTTCATGAAAAATGGGGGATGCTTAATCCTATGCTAAACTTACTGAACATACTGTCCTGCTATCTCTGATTCTTTTCATTTTTTTGCTGAACCTGTCCTCTCTGATTTGTTTGGGGTTTTTTTCCTATGTCAACTGTGCAGTCAGTGACCATACTTCTTCTTGTATTTAATATCCTTAGGTGCTCTAACTCCTTTCTTCTTGAGCCAGATTTTGGGAAACAAGTGTTCTTATAAGGCTTCCAAGTCTCATACCTGACTTTTACTGTTGTAATTACTCTAAATAACAATAAGAAAATGTATTTGGTGTTCCAAGATATAAAAACATGCCCTGGAGCAGTTTTTGCACTCAGATGTTGACAGACTTGTACTGGTAAAACTGTAGGCAGGATATTGCTGTAGTTTCTGATATGATGAAGAAAGTAAGACCTAAAGTAACAGTCAACAAACTCATCTGTATCAAGACAAAGTTTTACATTCTACTTGTTAGCCTACAAGATAACTTTTCAGTGATCTCTTGCATATGTGCCGGTACTAATAATGTGTCTTAGAAAAGTAGTGAGCTTGAGGAATGTGCAAAGAAGGGTTTCACACTTATACTGTTAATGTCATATACTATTAGTATTATTTCAAGCTAATGTCAAGATTGCTGTTTACTTCAACGGATGTAGGCTAGAATGGCAAATAAGATAGCAGTAGGGAGATAAAACATAAAGTTGCATGAAATACCAGATAGATTTATGTTTGCTGTGAGATTTTTGCAGAAGCATCAATCACAGAGTAAATGAGCCTTCAATTGACTACCACAATGCAGAAAAATTTTGCAAACTTCTCTGTTACCACCTTAGAATACATAGCACATAAAAATGTACAATATTAACTGTTGATTCCCATTTCACAAACGAATGTATTGATTCACTGAAATGGAATAAAAAATTCTTAGGAGTTAAATTAAATTATCCATTGTTTGGTTTTCTTACTTAATCATTCATTTCAGGAGCCACGAGGAGGAACAAAAAAGTTGAGTCAAAGCTTTTGAAACCTGTGCTCTGATCCAGTGAATTGTAAGGTACATATATAAATTTATTTACACGAGCAACTCCTTTCAAGTCATTTGGACTGCTCACGTGCAACCAAGCACTCGCCTACTTGAGTGCAGAGCATCTAAAATTATGAGTTTACTGACTTGGTAAAATCTGAAGTTGTTCAGCCGCTTTTGAAATACAATGGCTTTAACTGCAATGTCAGGAATCGGGCGAACAAAATTGAAAAAGTTAATGAAAGTCAATACATTAAAACTGTGGCATCAGTCTTGATCTTTGTCCTATATCTGAATGACAGTTAACCAGCAGTTTTTTGTTTCTGCTAAACCTCTGCAGAGCACAGTTCTAGGATATGTTCCAGTTTTCATGAGTAACAGAAAATTCAAACCACAAGTGTAAACATTTTCTTTTATCATGGACAATGAATTTATTTTTTATAATAAAATCAATGGTTAGATAGAGGCTTCAAATAAGAAGAAAAAATTACTTACCTGAATCTTAATAAATCTTTCTGCCTTGGGTTGGTATGAAGCAGGACCTAACACCACTTTCTTCCAGAAAGCTCTTTCTGTTCCCAGACATCCGTTCATTTTTTTCCTTTTAGGAGACGCCCCCGAACAAGAAAATCCTTCCATTCTGCTGTCCAAAAAAAGTTTATGTTGTGATGTGCAATACTGGAAAATACTGGGAGGCAAATACCTTCTTTTTTAATTTCCTTACTCTTCCCCGCACCGCTGGCCCTCCTTTTTTACAGCTCCTCTTTACTGTGTAGGTTATCCTTGATAACCCTGTGTAGGTTATCCTTGATAATTTTTGTCGGGTTCTTTCACAAATAAGTGAAAGCCATGCAAGCTAGTGGGGAGATGGAAAATCAGGTGTCTATGCAGTGTTTTAAGTGTGGACACCTTTCTCACATAGGGAGAAGATCAAAACTGGCCGTAGTGCTTCAGTTCAGGAAGTGTAAGTACCAGGTAACTGCAGGACGAAGGCAGACAAGGTGGAAGCAGCTGAGATGCTGGGTCATCTCAACACAAGCTGACGATTATTTCTTGCTTTGCACCTCATCCATAGCCTCAGTCTATATGTCAATGTTCTGTCTGCACACCTGGAATGGACAAGTATGTAAGTAAGTGGAGAGTTTGGTGCTGGGATGCCTTTGTTGTACCTCTTGCATTCAACCTCTGTACTAACATACACTATGGCTTCCTAAGAATTCAGATGTCTGTCCATGTATTTTACCTCCTTTATGATGTGTCTGGGTTGCACTTATGTTTGCACTCTGGTTGCACTTGTTAGTGCTAAGGTGGTAGCAGGACATGAAAAGCTAACTGCAAAACATCAAAGTCAGGTGTAAATCCACCATTACTAATTCTCATCTGTGCTAGCATGGGGATATACCTGTGTGCCAGCAAACCTGGTGCCAATACTTCATGGTAAAATTTCCTGAGGGAAAATTTCTGTAGGGGTTAGAGTCTTATACAACACATTGACATTTTAATTCTGAAACACTTTTACACTTTATTTCTGGTTATGTACCATGTAGATATTTTTATTTTAAAAGTCAGATGTGTTCTTCACTGTAAAGCAAACCTTCAGAATACCCTTGTCATATTCAGGACCTTGTACTGGACTGAACAAGCCAAAGACATAGGCAATAACTTACAAGGAGATGGGCTGCTGCTGTTACCAGCAATGCATGGTCCTTAGGTTACTGTGCCCCAGCCCTTTTCCTCTGTGCCAAGAAGCAGGT